GGCCTTTCTCGTAGAGCTTCTTCTAGTTGAATTTTAAGATCAATAATTTCCTAAGAAATATAAATTTTAGAAAAATGAAAAAAATTTATTGATTGTTTTTTTACTTGATCTTTCCGTTGTATTTCGATTTGTAATGCTGCATTTGTAGATGTACGTTCATCTGATACTATTGATTCAAAATTTGGTTCCATTTCAATAAATTTCGAATGTAATTTATTTATTTTTTTTCCGTTCTCTATATTAATTTCATGTAATTTCTAAAGAGAACAGAACTTTCTTTTTGTTTGTTTTTATTTTTATCTTTTATAAAATTTACATTGATCTCTCGTTCTCTTTCGGATAAATTTTGACGTAATGTTGCAATTAATTGATCACGATTTTCTACATCAGACTTAAGTTGTTTTTCCATTCTCTGAAGAATTTTAAAAAAAAAAGAAATCAAAAGAAATCAAAAATTTTTTATTCACCTCGTTACGAAGAGTTATTCGATTATAATCACTTTGAAGTTTATTATGAGCTTGATAGAGGTTGTTTAATTCTTCATTAGAATGATGAAGAGAATTTTGAAGATTCTAAAAGATTACTCAGACAAGAAAATTCTACTTTTTTTTCCTATCATTATATGTTAATAGAGGGTTAGATTTTATGTTTGTTGCTGATAGAAACAAGATATTTTACTATTCTTCTTCCTCTCATTTTTTTTTCTTTTTGTATGTCAGTCTCGGTGAGCGTAGTTGAGAAACATCTTCACTTCTTCTCTTTTTTTTTCTCTCCTCTATAATTTCTTTTAGTGAGTAAATGTGAAAAATCGCGTAGTGCTTTTCTCGCACTCGTTAATAATAAAAAGAACTGATAATAAAATGGTGGTGATGAAGTGTCAGGAAAAAAAAACGAGCCATTCTCTATGTAGTGCTGATGAATGTGCGTGTGTATGTCTTTCTTACTTCATCTGTATTAGTATATTGGTTTCGATTCTAAATAAGATTTATATAGAATATTTCTCTGTTGATCTTAGTTAAATGTGTATGAGTGAGATTTCTTCTGTATTGTTATACCTGAACTAAATTTTCACGTTGTTTAAATTTTTCATTAAGATCATCAATAATACTTTGATATTGATTACGTTGATCGGATGGAGTTACACCATTTGTTTTCTAGTAAAATTTGAAATAGAGAAGTAAAATAAATTATGAAAAATGTTTTACCTTTGCCATTTCTAATTGTTGTTCTAAATTTCTTATTCTATCCAAATGTGTCTAGAAAAAAAAAGAATAATTTTCTTTCAGTTTTTTTTTTGTTATTAATCATACTTCTTTATCTTCAAGAGCAATATTAAGATTAAAATCTAAAGAGTTACGACGTCGCGTAAGCTCGTCAATTTCAAATTGTAATGCCTTGAAAGAAGAATTAATTGATTAGAAAAAAAAAACTCTACTTGTCAAAAACAATTCAAATTTGTATACATCAATTTTTTGTTCAGCTTCTTGTAATTGATCATTAGTTTGAGTAAATCTACGTTTACAATCTTGAATATTTAATTTTAATTCACTAATATATCGTTCATATTCTTGAGTAATTGAAGTTTTTTCATTTAGTAGTTCATCAATTCGTCGTTCACGTTTGACAAGGTCTTGATGTAATGTTTCAATTGTACTACTATTTGGATTATCAACCTAATAAAAACAAAATATACGGAAAAAAAATACTAGATTTTCGAATTAAAATAAAATTCTTCAACTAACTCTTTTAATATCTTCAAGAAGTTTTTCAATATGTTGATCTTTTATGTTAAGGGATTCAATATGTGTTTGAATAAATTCTTCTTTAGTTTGAAGATCTTTTTCTAATTGTTGAATTCGAATCTAAGAAGAATAAAATTTTTTTTGTTTAATCATATAAATATTTTTGTTTCTTTAGAAAACAAATACTTCAAGTTGTGTTTGAGTATCTTTTCGTTCATTTTCAACAACAGTAAGATCGTCTTGAAATTTCTATTATAAAAATTAAATATGTTAATTAATAGTTAAATCTATGTACAAAACTTACTTGTATTAGAATTTCTTTTTCACGAAGTTCTTTTTCGAGTTGATCGATCTTAATATAATTGAAAAAAAAATTTGAATATACATAACAATATTCAAAGCTTTCTTATTTAATGATACTAAGTTACAATATATTCAATAATAAAAATATATTCTTTTGCAATTTATCTAATGTATTTTAAAAAACTTTTGTTATTAAATAAACTTGTACATATGCATTATAGATAGAATATTATTGTACCATAATTTGTTTTTAAAGATAATATCACACAGTTTTATTCATAGACAAAAACTCGGCAGTTTTATAGAAAGGTTTTACTACTGATCTAAATATTCTAAAAATCATTATACAGTTGTTTTTCCTCAGTTATAATTGCTCGGTTACTAAATTGTATTGATCTTCTTTAATCAACAAGTATTTTTATGTTTCACTATCAAGAGTACATTCATAATGTAAGATCTAGTGATATTGAATGTCCTAATATCATTTGATTTCTTTAAATTTATACATCAGGAATATAAAAGGATGGTTATGAATACTATGATTGTGTAGTAAGACTTCTTGGTAAAATGTCACATGAAAATAAATATTTATAGAATGAGACTCAAGGTTCGCGAGAAAAAAACACAACTCTTATCGTGTAATCAATAGTAGATTATATGAATGGGAGACCAAAAGATATTTTTCCATGAATATAACTAGAGATATTCACGATGGGGTAAGCGGTAACAAATTTTTCTCAGGAGGAAAGTTCCACAACTACTTCAATATGTAGACCCAAATGAGTTATAAATATTCTAAAAAAGTTTGCGTCCTTCGCCTATTGCTGCAGAGATATAGTATTGTCGCGTTCTTTTTAAATGAATGTCGTGGTACCCTCTCAAGAACATTAGAAAATCTAACTTTTGACTTGAAAATCTGTATATAAGCAGACCGTAAGGACAATAGTTTAAGACATTTTGATTTGTTTCTATTCTGAAATAAAAGCATATGGTAACGCTAGTTTATGTAACAGTGATTTAAAAGACACGTTGTTACTACAATTGTATCTTAGGATAGAAGCATCGATAAGACCTGAAATATTTACAATGAACTGTTCTCATGAAGCTTTGTAGTTTCAAGTTGAAATTTGAAAATCAGCTTTGCTAGTATTTCTGAGGGGAACTACGACATTCATTTAAAAACTACTTTAAAATTCAATATGTCCATAGTAATAAGCTGGGGGCATGAACTTTTTTCAAGGTACTCATAACTCATTTCGATCTACATAATGCACATCGTCTCGACTCAAAAGCTATTAGTCAGTTAGAGGACTTCCTTCCTCAGGGCAGGTGCATCTCATGAAAAAGTTTACTCTGTACATCTCTAAGTAAACTTTTCCAACGAAAAATCAATTACTGAAGCAGCTGCTATTAATTACTGGTTAGGATTATGTTTCAACTTTATTCGTAGAAAGAAAATTTTAATCAATGCGTATATTTTGAATATGAAATAATAAAAAGCTTTATCTTTTTCCTTCGAATTAATTTTAAAAAAAACAAAGAAATTTTTAACGCCTGTTTGGAATTTACTGGGAAAAAAAGAAAGAATTATATGATCGATCTATTTAATTTCAATAATATATATTTTAATATTTTTTTAAAAATTAAAAAAAAGAATTGCTTTAGGGTAAAGAAGGATTCCATTTATAAAAATTACCTGTATAGATGTTTTCTTTTTTTTTGAATAGAACTTTGAAGAGAGTCTTTCGTTTGAGTATGTTCGATAAATGAAAAGTTTGAGTCAAGATATGATGGCAGAAGTAATGGCATTTACATCAATTTCTTTCTTTCTTTCTTTTTTCTTTTTACTATTCAGTGCAATCAATCAATATGTATTGAAAATAGAGAAAGAAGAGATTCAAGAGCATTTCTTGATTCTTGAGTTTATGTTGAACAACTATGATTGACATTTTTTTGTTTCGATATGCCCCTTTGGTTTCTCCCTTTCCTAACAATTCCTGATTGTTTGTATTGTATTTAAAGTGTTTATAACGGATAGGTTTATATTAGCAAGGAAAAGAATAAAATAAAAATCAACTGTTTTTAATTTTTTTATTCTTCAATTATTTTTTAGATTATAAGATTCCTAGATTTTTGATAATAATTTAAAGTTTAGTGATTATTATGACTAAGACTTACATTATTTGGAACAATTGTAAACTGTTGTTTATACTGAAGAGGAAAAAGAGGATTTTTAGTAAAAAAGAAGAATCACTCAAATAAATGTACCTCAGCGATTTGTGTTTCATATGCTTGATTTTGATTTTCTAATTTCTGTTATAAAAAGAAAACAAATAGTTAAAATTATTATCATTTTTGTTTTTTGCTAATATACTTGTATGCGATCCTTTTGAGTGTTTAATTGACTTGTATATTGACGAGATACATCAAATTCAATTTGTTTATTGACTTCTTCTGCTCTTCTAAGATCGCTTCTCCAATGTTCAATGTCATTTTCATAAGACTGAAACAACGAAAAACAAATATAATATAGAACAACAATAAAAAAAGAAATCAAAAGACTAACTTGAATTATTGTATTGGCTTCTTGTAATTCATTTTGTAGGGTCTGTAATTGTCTTTCAAACTATATGAATATAGATAGATCAATACATTTAGATCAGATCGAAAAAAAAGAAAAAAAAGCCTTACACGTGCTATTTCATTAGTCTTTTCTTGAAGAGTAGATTCAAGAATTTCTTTTTCTTTTCCAAGATCCTATAATATAAGAGAAATCAATTGATATTTGAATACAGATAATAATTTAATAACTTACATCGGATATTTGACTGTAACGTTTACGATACTTGAAAAGAAAAAGAAAAATTTTGTTGTGAGTAAAAATATTGAAAACTTAGATTCTTACATCTTGTTCATATTCTTGACTAATTTCAAGACGAATTCTAATCTCAAGTCTATCTAATTCATGACGAAGATCCTATGAATAAGATAAATGAAAGATTTTTATAGTTAACTTATTTATTTTTTTTTTTCTTTTAACTTACAAAATTATCTTTTTTTAGAGTTTGAAGCTCTGTTAGACTTTGACGATGGCCTCTTTCAAGAATCTCTTTATCATGTAATACTTTATGATATTTCTTTTCCCAATCCTAATTAAAAACAAAACGAATATGATTATTATAATACTACAACAAAAATAAAACGTCATCCTTTTAACTTACTGTTCTTTCACGTTGGAGAGTTTCATATCGTTCTATTGCATTTTGATTATCACGTTGTAATGTACTAAGTTCATTTTGATACCGTTGTATTACATTGTGATTATCATGTTGTACTATGTTCAGTTCAGTTTGATATCGTTTTTTATCATCATTAATATCACGTGAATGCGTTTCATAGGCAATTATTCGTTCGTTTAACTAATTAGCAATAGAAAAAAAAACAAAGCTATTCGATGATTTTGTTTTTTTTTGAAATATTTTTTGATTACTTCATTATTTAATTGTGTTAATTTAGTAAGTTTAGTTTCATATTCATATAGTCGATTTTCCACTGTCTAAAGAAATCAATTATTAAAAAAAGAAAAATATGAAAACTAGAACATCTGTCTTACTTGTTTGTCATGTTTAATCATTTGTACTTGATTGTCTAGATTATCTCTTTCCTACAAAAGAAAGTAAAAAAGAATATGTGTTTTTTTTTTATTTGAATTTTATGGTTTACGATTGCTAATTGAGCTATTTGACTTTGAACATTCTATTCAAAATTAAAATTTTAAAATATTTAAATAAAATAAAATAGATGCTTACTAGGCTTTGGTTTTCAATTTTCTTTTGTTGTTCGACAATAATCAATTGTGACTAGCAAAAAAAAAATATATATATATGTGATTATTAAAACAAAAAAGAAAATATTTACTTGATCATATTGAGTTTGAAGATCTCTAGATCGTGTAGTAGCATTATTTAATTCAATTTGTATTTCATTAACTTTCTTTCTTTCGAACTAGATAAAATTAATTTAATAAAAAATTAAAAAAATTGAATATTTAATTTTTACATCGCGTTCTCGTTGTAGATGAAATCGTTCCTAAAAGAATAAAATAAAGAAATAAAAACAACTTATTTAAATCAAAAAAAAAAATGTTACTTCTTGAAAACTATTTTCCATTTCTCGAAATTCTATAGCATAATTTTCGATTTGTGCTTTCTGTTGCTATTCATTTAAAAATAAAAACAAGTATTATACATAAATGTAAAAAAAATATGTATATTTTACTTGAATGATGCTTTCTAATTCTTCAATATTTTTGGATTCGAGGTCTTTTTTCTAAAAAGAAAATAAATGATTATTCTCTATATATTGAAATTTGAATATATTTACATCAGTAAGATATTTTATTAATGGTAATAAGTAACGAGAAAACTTCTTCGACTGTCTTAGCTATCGGATTTTTAAACTGTAGATTTTCTAGACGCACAGTTTTAAAAAATTTGTATTTTCGAATTTCAATCTGGAATTTTGTTTATATAGAGAACTCAACAAGACTAACTTCTTTAAAAATATTCAAAAGTTTTCAACAAAGTCTCTTCAAGATATGAAGCTTTCACAACAATCCATGTCGTTTACAATATCCATGAAAAGGAACTATATCTTTAAAATCTTATACATCGAAGTGATCTTTTTTCAAAAATTAAAATTTTCTTTTTATGGAAGTTACTCTAGTTGAGTTATCTATATATACAAAGTTTCAGATCAAAATTCGACAATAAGAAAGGTTTTTCATTAGAATACTATATCGCATCTCTAGATTAAAAAAAACACAACACTTCTTAAGTCTCCTACAGATTGAATGTAATTCGATGAACGTACATCATGAAGATGTTGGAGATATCTCATTTCGCTCGAGCTAAAAGAAAATCATTTGTAAAAAAAATCTTTAAATAAAATATCAGAAAACTAGTTTTGAAGGTCTTGATTTTCTAAAGATCTTTTATTCAAGCAATTTTATTGAAGTTTTTAGACATACTGATCTGCATAGAGAACTATCAAATGTTTTTCCGAATTCTTTATATAGAACTACTCTAAACTTTTTTTCTGTATTGACAATAAATTAGCATTGAATACATACTAAATTTTCATAATCTCTTCGTAAATCATTATTTGTTTGTTGTTCGTTATCTAATTCTTCTTGAAAATTACGTATACGTTCAGTTAATCTCTAATATATTCAAATAAAAAGAAAGACTAAAACAAATTTATAATTTGTTAATACATACTTGATTTTGTTCTTGTAAATTTTGTGTTTCCTGAAAAATTTATATAATAAAAAAAAAGGATCTATATTGAATAATACGCAGAAAAACAAAGAATATACTCGTGTGTATTGAGTTTCAAGATCATTAATAATTTGTTGTGATTCTAATCTCATTCGAGCAATATCATTGGTAATTTCTCTTGAACGACGATCACGTTCATCAATCTAAATATAAAATTAATCATTAATATGAAAATAAAAATTTTCTAACGAATTATACTTGTATTCTTAAATTATTTTTTTCTTGTTCCAATGTTTCAATTCTAAAACCAAATTGATCTTTCATTTCTTTTTCAATTTCAGTTAGATGTGCTTCATATTCCTAAATAATAATCATGAAATAATTATTTGAAAACAGAATTAGAAAAAATTATAATCTCTACTCGAATTTGTATCTCTTGTTTTCTAATTGTAGTTTGACTCTAAATAAAAAAAAAAGAAAAGAAAAAAATTTCTTTTAATAAATATATGAAAAACAAAAAAAAAAGAATTTTAATTTTTTAAAAGCTTTACATCATCATAATCACGTTTTATTTTCGATATACGATTTGTTAAACCAGATACATCATCAGCAACATTTCGAAGTTGTACTGTTACTTGAGCAACAGCTGCTTCAGGATTCTAAAAATGAAAATTAATTAAAATAATTAGTTAGAAAAAAATCATATTTAAACTTGATGAGTTTCAGTAGCAATCTAAATTAAAACAAAAAAAAAAGCTTTTGAAAAAAATTTCTGAAAAAAACGAAACTTAATAAATACAAACCAATGGTGATGATCGAGGTAATGGTGGTAACTAGTATAAAACAATGTTAATTTATTATGAAGTTTTGTATTTTCTTTTAAACATACATCTGAAGTTGATGTCGATGGATTCAAAATATGAATTAAATTAGCAACTTGTGTTCGTAAATACGCTTCACTTCGACGAAGTTCATTACATTCTGCTCGTAAATTCTAAGAATTGATCTATGTTATGTATTTAAAATATAAATCAATTGAAAATTTTTACTTCAATTATTTTAATATATGGTTCTAATTTTTCATTGAAGCTTTGAGAATTCTAAAAATTAATTAATTAAATATTTATTGTAATAATTTCTTGAAAAATATACTAACTTCTTCAGTTAGGTGAGAACTCGTTGATAGTGGAAGTGGGCGTTCAGTGAGTTCCTGAATTTTAGCTTCAAGTTTCTATGTGGTTTTTTGAAAAAAAAAATATAGTTTTAGATTTCAATTTTAGTTTTTTTTCTTTTTTTTGTTTCTCTCTTATGTGGAATCATACTTTAATGATACAACCTTGGTGACGTATTGTTCGAAGGTATTCTTCGCAATTGCCATCAGAACCTGTTTGTTCTTGCTATATAAACAAAAAAGAAAACCAAATCAGAATAAAAAATCCTTTTTTTTTTAAATAATAAAAATCATCGTCTTTCTTTCGTACTGATTTTTGTCAAAACTCGTGAATAATTATGTAATAAAGCATTGACAAAAAAAAACCAAGCAAAACAAAATTTTATCTGATAATAGTTAGCAAAATTCAATTAGAGTATGATGGAAATTAGAGCATAGCTGAGCGGGAAATTTTTTATAAGCCATGTGAAATACAAACCAATGGATAAGTAAAACGAATTCGAGCAAGTAATGGCTAAAAGAAAATGTTTTTCTTTTATCGTTGAGATAGATTTTATTCTTTCGGATTAAACTCTTTTACAAAAGATTAATAATAAGAAATATATTTTCCTTTCTTTTTTTTCGTTTTACCTCATGTCGATATGATTCAAATGCAGCTAATTTTTTTTGATGTTCTCCTTCCAGAGTCTAGATAAAATGATATTAAACAAAAATGAAATTTTGAAAATTTTTGAAATATTACAGAAATACGTGTATCATAATCAGCTTTTAAACGTCTCAATACACGTTCGGATTTGATTTGTTCTTCTTTATATTTCTCGTTAAGTTGTTCTAGACTGTTATTAACCTATTAAACAATGAAAAAAAAAAAAAAAAAAGAAATATTATCTTTAAACAAGTTTCTATTTACTTCAGTTAATTTTGACCTTAATGAAGCTGTTTCCTGTATTTAATTTATAAAAAGAAATCGAGTATTTAATATGACTAGTTTTGTTTTCTTTTTCAATACTTGTTTTAATAAATTATTTTCTTCTTGAAGTTTTCTTTCACGTTCATTGAATTGTACAGTATATTGACTAACAGGCATTGCTGTGTCTGAAGTTACTGTTGTGAATGTTTGAGTATTTTGACCAACAGTTGATAGTCTTATATTCTCTCCAATTTCACCAGAATCACGAAGTAATTTACGAAGTCCTGAACTTTCTTTACGACATCGTTCAAGTTCAAGTTTTAATTGTTGTAACTCATCGCTTTCATCAGTCGATCGAATAGCACTAACTTGTGTCTCTTGTTGACGGCTTGACAAGAAAAAAAAATGAAAGTAAACAAATCGATCAACAGAACAAACCGCAGCAGTCAACAAAAAAAACCAATATGTTATGTTTTTTGTTAAAAACGTTTTGATAATTATACCTAATGGAATTAGTTATGATGTTAAAAATAGACATGCCTGACATGTAGAAAAGAAAAAAATGATAGTCTGCAAGTATGTATGTACAAATGTGTGTAGGTAGAGAAGTATTGTAATGAGCTTTTTGTCAACATTAAGAGTCGCTTAATTCATGGTTTCTCTTTGGAAAAAAAAAGAAAGAACTAAAGCACAATGATGAGTCTAAGATTTTCGAAAGGAGGCGATTATGATTATAAAACTTGTTTTAAAACCTATCAGAGGTCGTATCAAATCATTGTTAGATATTTTCTACTGAGAAAAATTGAAAAATATTTCAGAAGTACAGGGTGATCACTCTCTATACCTTCCTTCTAAATCGGTCGTTGATATAGCAAGATGAATACGTAATAGTATGTACTGTAGAGTGTAGTGTGTAGAGCTATTGAATCAATAATTGAAATCAGAAGTACTACTAATCAAAGGTTATATTCAATAGGTAAAATAAACTTCTATTATACATGAGAAAGGATAAATTTTAATTGAAAATAAATATTATCTCAATTGGTTAGTTGACAAAACTTAAAACTAAATCATAAAAAAACAATAGAATTACCTTGTATCAAAATCATTAATATATTCCACTTCATCATCACTTGGCTCTCGTATCACTGCTGAATGTGTTGCACCCATTGTCAAACAATAAGTTGAATACTTTCAGTTGTCTTTCATCTCTATTACTTCATCTGTTCGATCACTCTTTCATTTTCTTCTCTGCTTATTCTTATACCTTCTATGGCTTCAATACTCTATACAATCAAGTACATTTATATAGAACAATTGCGATTGAGAAGATCAAGAGACAGAATTTGATTTTGAGAAAAAAAATGAAAGAATAAAAAGGGAACGAAAGAGACTAAAATCACATCATTCAATAGTTCATTATATTTTTTTAGGCGTCGATTAAACTTAAGAATAAAACGCATATTTTGAATAAAGATGAAAGCGTATATTTTGTGTTGATTTTAAATAAGTACAAACTAAAAGTAACATACCGAATTACTGATGATGTTTGCTGATCTTGATCAGATTCTTTTGATGATTGTTCGTTATTAGACTAGAAGAAATAAAAAAAGATAATCAATAAAATTTAAAAAATTCTTAATAATTTTACTGTTTGTTGTAGGTCACCATGGCGAATTGGTGATGTATGAAGAGCACGACGACGTTGAATTGCTGTTGATGATGTATCTTTATTATCTAATGTAACTGTACTTTGTTCTTCAAGAAAAAATATTCGTAATTTTAAATTAAAATTTTCACGTTTAAGCTCTTGAAATTCCTAAAAGAAATTTAATATCTAATCAATTCAATATATTAAATAAATAAGGAGAAAAATAATGCAAAAAAGATAGAGAATAATTCTTTTCAACTAACCAGTTCTCCCATCGTGTATTTTTTTATCTTTCAAGTGTTAAAATACGATGACATCGAACATAATATAGGTACAAACATGCATACATATCTTCTATCTCACTTTTTTTTCACGGACAGCCAAATACAGATTAGATGACAGAACAGCATTTGATAATCGAAGACAAAAGAAAAAAGAAGTATCAAATGTGACAAAATACTTTTGTTATTTATTGAAAAACAATAATTGTTATTTAGGTTAACTATAAACATTCATAATAAAAGAAATAAATGTAAGATTTTGTTACAATTAGACACACGAAGAAAACAACTCATAGATTATATTAAAGCAGAAAAGCGACATTTCGATTAAATATAGAAAAGATTTGTTTTTTCTTTTTTAAAGTATTCCAAATCGATTTATTGAAATGAACTAATATTCGTCATATAATTTTTCACAGCTATATGAATTTCTTCTTTTCTAATTTTAATGATAAGAAATAAATACACAAACGTAAACTGTGTTTGAGGAATTCTTATCTACAAGTAGATATGTAAAGTATGTATTATCTTATCTCTTAATTAGAGTTTTGGTGCTGACATTTGTAGTTGCAAAAACTACTAGTCATAAAAGTTGTTATCAAAAACACTGACAGATTGGTTATGTTTAGTTTAGTCAAAATCTATGCGAATTTTCAATCACCTGAATCAATTAATTTGTTCCTAATGAAACAATAAATATGAAAAAATACTGAAAAACTATAAAAAGAAAAAAAAAAAGAAAAGTTAATTATTTACCGTATCAAATTCACGAACTGTCCTTGGATTAGTTGAAAGAGTTACATCGGGTATAGCAACTGTTGCCGATAGATTTTCTAAAAAGACAAAAGCAATTGATCTATGTATTTCAAAAACAACATTCTTACCATCAGATTTAACCGATGAAACATCATCTTCTTGGCTAGAATCCATAACTATTGTCAATTTACAATACTCAATTATAAATTACTAAAAAAATTTCATTGAAAAAATCAAAATAATCTTCTTAGCAAAAATTATGTAGAAAAAGATCTAACAAATATTGCTTTGGATATATTATTTATTGCTAACTGTAAACTTATAACTACGTATGTCTATTTACTTTTAATCAATTTATATGAACAAAAACTCTAGATATAAAATCGCATATAGATAACCTTCATAAATCTTTTCATCAGTTTCTCAATAACATTAGATGGCGCTCTTCTTCGATTTCTCAATTCTACAAGGTCCTTGTCCGAACAATGTTGATAAGAACTGTACGACGCAATCGGATACTTTTGTTTAAATAAAAAGCGTTCCTTATGATGATTATATAACACATTAAATATGTGTACTTCGCACAATTGCCCCTATTCTAATAAAATGTATAGGAAACACATTCTTTTTTCTAAATGGCTCTCTTGCTCTTACATAACAAACCATCGTATTTTGTTTTAATTGTAAATATCTCAACTAAAAAACGAAAAAGAAATAATAGGTAAGATTTGAGAAATCTTACCTATGCACTAGTCTATAACGTCTTCTCTTAACATGCCTTGTATTTATTATGGTTTGTCGTTATCTATTTGTTCTCCCTTTCTACTCTATTTATTTGACGAATATACGCTTTTTCCACACACATGTCTTTTTTTATTGTGGTTAAAAAAAACAACGACACACACACACGGATAACGTCGTCGACTGCTGTTATTCTCTTCTTTGGCATCACTACCACCGTCTCCCCACCATCACACATCATGGTGTGTTAACTTTAGTAGAGAGTCTGAGGAAAAAGAAAACGGAGAAACAGAAAGGTAAGAAGACACAGAACAGCACGACGAGCTGCGTAGAAGAGAAACACTATGTATCTTTCTATTTCGTTTGACTGGAATAAAATTTTTGTTATTGATATACTAACAGGTGAATGTTATCGTTACAGACCGATTCATTTGTTGATAAATACACCTGTTTGTTTAACTTCACAATATGCATGAGACAAAACAAAAACAAAACGATAGTAATTAATTTGTTTGAATTAGTTTAAATAATTATATAATAGAATCATTTGTTTTGTCAGCATTTGACTTTTTAATGATTCCAATTTTTTTCATAATGCATAAAAAATTTCATCGACGTGCTTATTTTATTGACATGCTTTTGAAAAGAAAAGAATTTTATTTTCACAGTAAATAGGTCATTTAGAAAAATCGATTAAATTAATTGAAAATTTTTCATGTGAAACATAAATGTGATTTCATATTAAAAGTGCATATTTACTTGATAATTATTTTAATAAATATCTTAATATGAACTTATTCTATCTGAAATTAATAAAGAATGATGTTGAGCAAGAAAATGTATATCAATTCTTTTCCACTGCCGTCAACTCTCTTGAGAATTCAAGTAATGATTTTTTTTAGAGAATTTTATTTTTAATAAGAATTTTTCAAGAGCAAAGTTTCTGAAAAATCAAACTCTAAGTTTTTCAGCTCCTGTAATTCGCAAATAGACGTCTATTTGAATTATCTAGAATGATTAAGCAAATAATTCTCTACAAAAATGAAACGTTTTTCAATTCGTTGCGATGGTTTTTTGGCATAAATACATCAACTATAAAGAAAGCATAAAAATGATGCTTTCATACGAAGTAACACGAAGAAAACGACGTTTATGTCTTACATCAACTTGATGTTTTTCGATCTAAAAGTGCCGTAGAGAGCTGAAACACACAGAGATGAAACTAACACCAATCTGAGTAGACTGGATTGATCAGTTGATCCGATATCTATACTGACGCTGAACTGACGAGTTGTCATATTATTCCATCTGTAAAGGCCAGTCTGAGCTCTATACCGGTATTGATTTCCTTTTTAGGAAGATGCTTGATCCTATAAAGAACTGTTTTCTCTATCATTCGAAATAGTTCATATAGAATTCTATTTATGAATGCTCAGAGCTAAAAAATATAAATTTTGGTTATTTCAGAAATCCTGTCCTTGAAAAACTAGCAATCACTTTTATCTCCAAATATTTTCGTTTGAATGCAAAGCTCTACACAAAACACTATTCGGATGCTTCCGAGGGTTTATAGTAATGGGAAAAAAAGAAGATTATTTTGGAAGTCCCTATATATATATATTGTTCAAACATTGTACAAACGACTGAAAGTAAAACCATTTACTTTCTTTTCATCTTTCGTATCAGTCAATATTTTGAATTATTACATAAAAAACACTTTTTTCTAAAATCTCATTGATCAAATTGATATATGAATAAAGACTGACCATTGTTTGTCCTTTTAGTATATATATATATATATACCGAGAATGACAAAATATGATTTTAACAGTACCATTGAGTTATTGACCTTGATTTGTAAGAGACTTGATATAATCGAACACAAAAAAAAACTTGAATACACACAGAATTAATTAGACAGTCGAATGTCATAAGGCTCCTCGTTAAAGATAAATATTTATTATGATAAAAAAAATTATATGCACAATCTAGGCATATAAAATATGGTACACATTTATTTTATGCAAATTTGTTGCGATTTTTAGACGACATGTATATGATAATATATAATAATCATGTATATTTCTTATGTTGAATTCAATGAAATCAAAAACAATGAACATTGTATAAATAAACTTTTATATGAAAACAAAGTCATGATCTTTTTATTGCATAAAAGCAACGAACCATAACAAATTTAGTATCACTGAAAAATAATTTTCATTATATAGAATTGATCGACTAACTTGATCGGCTAGAAAAATTAATTATTCAATCAGAAAAATTTTTCAGTTTAATTTTATTATACAAGTAATCTAAGTAGATTTTTTTAAATCAATTGATATATTTTATCATTTATATGTGGATTCTTATTGAAAAATTGACAAGAAAATCAATAATTTCCAAATGACAGCAACATTTGTTAAACAGTACTAATATCATGTGATTGACATATACAATAGAAAACGGTAAAGTGATTGCCAGCTGTTCAATAATTGATAGTTGGTTTATTCTGTGCATGATGCCAATAAACACTTTCAATGAGTTTCCATACTTACCTATCATAGTATACATGCTCAAAAAAAACGATATCTTCATTTTAAAAGTAAGATCTTAAAGTTTTAATTTAAAAGGGTAATCTCATATAAACCTATTCATGATTATAACCAGTTCAGTTTTATTCTATTTGAAACAGAATGAGTACAGAACAGAACATTACAGTCATTCTAGTTCCTTGTCCTATAGTACAAAGTGAGAAATCATTTTTAGTCGTGTCGTGTCGGTTTGCAGGACGATGGTCTAACGTAGAACAGGATAGAAAACGGCTGTCCTGTATTGTTTAACACACTAGGTTATAGTTTTAATAATATAAATCAACGTATTATTACAATAATCACTTATTGTGTTGCTAACTTTTTGTTGTATTTATCAACTTAACAATGATTCACATACATAGTTGTAGTATTGAAAAATAATATTGAGTAAATTGATTATTTGATAATGGACAAGTTACCTTGTTTTTTGTTTAAGTGTATATAAAAAAAAATTATACTGTATGTCCATCTCTTATTTACACTTTATATGTTCTAAAATGGATATTATAATATTGAATATTCTTGTATTCATATCTATTTATAATTCTGAGAATCGTTGATAATAACAGAAAATTGTCTTTTTCTATATGTAAAATTCATCATTTGTAAAACTGACAAAACTTCGATAAATCAAAAGGAAAATTTTCAATTATAATAATAAAAAAGAAACAAGACTTCTTGTAATAATATTATGAAGTAGTTTCATAGCGCCATCTGTTTCTCATGTAAAAAGAAACAGAAGTAATTCTTTTTACA